AGGAGTTAGGCCTTGATTTGTCCCCTACAAACACAGAAACATCCACAGCAGCAATGCAGCACGATTTGTGTAGAATCTTGAAGTATCCTGAGTGGGAAGGGACCCCCAGGGATCATCAGGACACCCCAACAATCCCACCCTGTCCCTCAGAGCGTTGTCCAAGCCCTCCTTGAGGACTGGCAGCCTTGGGGCTGTGCCCACTGCCCTGGGGAGCCTATTCAGTGCCCAACCACCCTCTGGGGGAAGAATTTCCCAATATCCAACCTAACCCTCTCCTGACTCAGCTCCAGCTGCTCCCTGGGTCCTGTCCCTGCTCACCAGAGATCAGTGCAGCCCCTGTGCTTCCCCTTCCATTTCCTGGAGCTCCCTCCCTCTGGATGGTGCTTCAGTGCCCTTCCCTCCCGTATTGAGAGGGTTTTGGGGGCCCTTTCCGTGTCTGGCACTGAGATGGCAATTCCCATCCATGCTCCCACCCCCACTGACTCTGTCCCCCCAGGCATCGGCACCCTGGAAGGTCAGTCTCTGGAGGAGAGCTGGGATGAGCTCAAGGAGAAATTCTGGGAGCTTTACAAGGTAAACCCACCCCTGAGCTCTCCCTCCCTCCCCTGGCACATCCCGTGGATCCAGTGGGAATTATCCAGCTGGCTCCTTGCTCCCCACAGGCCGACTGGTGCGTGTGGCCGGCGGCTCAGCTCCTCAACTTCCTCTTCGTCCCTCCCACCTACCGGGTGGTTTATGTCAACGTGGTCACCCTGGGCTGGGACACCTACCTGTCCTACATCAAACACAGGGTGAGTCCCCTGGGCTGGGACTGTCCCTGTCCCACCCCAAACACTGTCCCTGTCCCACCCCAAACACCGTCCCTGTCCCACCCCAAACACCCAGTGAGTCCCCTGGGACTGTCCCTGTCCCACCTCAAACACAGGGTGAGTCCCCTGGGCTGGGACTGTCCCTGTCCCACCTCAAACACCCAGTGAGTCCCCTGGGACTGTCCCTGTCCCACCTCAAACACAGGGTGAGTCCCCTGGGCTGAGACTGTCCCTGTCCCACCTCAAACACTGTCCCTGTCCCACCCCAAACACCCAGTGAGTCCCCTGGGACTGTCCCTGTCCCACCCCAAACACTGTCCCTGTCCCACCTCAGACACCCAGTGAGTCCCCTAGGCTGGGACTGTTCCTGTCCCACCTCAAACACTGTCCCTGTCCCACCCCAAACACCCAGTGAGTCCCCTGGGCTGGGACTGTCCCTGTCCCACCCCAAACACTGTCCCTGTCCCACCTCAGACACTCAGTGAGTCCCCTGGGCTGGGACTGTCCCTGTCCTACCTCAAACACAGGTATAGGACTGTCCCTGTCCCACTCCAAACACCCAGTGAGTCCCCCTGGGCTGGGACTGTCCCTGTCCCACCTCAAACACTGTCCCTGTCCCACCCCAAACATCCAGTGAGTCCCCTGGGACTGTCCCTGTCCCACCTCAGACACCCAGTGAGTCCCCTGGGCTTGGACTGTCCCTGTCCTACCTCAAACACAGGTATAGGACTGTCCCTGTCCCACCCCAAACACCCAGTGAGTCCCCCTGGACTGGAACTGTCCCTGTCCCACCCCAAACACTGGGTGAGTCCCCTGGGCCAGGACTGTCCCTGTCCCACCTCAAACACCCAGTGAGACCCCTGGGCTGGCACTCTGACCAGTCTGGAGGGTGCCCAGCTGATCCCATTATCCCTGTTTTCCAGCCTAGAGCCACCCCAAGCCCCCAGCAGGACTCTCCTCAGGAGGAGCAGCAGCGCAGTGCCAGGGCATAGAGAGGTGGATGTGGCGCTTCCAGAGGCTCCTGCCTGCAGCAAATGGCATTTTTCGGGGGGGCATTGTGGCCCCTGGGGATTGATCAACCCAAGGGGAGTGATGGCTGGAGACCACCAAGGCCAGACCCCCCCCAGCCACGTGCCTCTTGCTGATTAACTCATCTGCTAATTAGGATGGGTTGGGGTTGTGTTGGTAACAATCTCCTGTTGCAGGATGACCTGTAAAGTGATTTCTTCTGGGATTTACCCCTGGAGCCGGGGTGAGGAGCTGCTGCAGCCCCCAGGAAGGGGCTCTGGTGCTTTCCCTGGCTGCTCCAGGCTGGATTTGTTCCCTCGTCTCCAGAGCAAACTTGCTCCTCTCCAACCTCCTCAGATCCACTCCAGCCACTCAGATCCTCACTAATTAATCAGGAAGGAATTCTTCCCTGTGAGGGTGGGGAGGCCCTGGCACAGGTTTCCCAGGGAAGCTGTGGCTGCCCCTGGATCCCTGGAAGTGTCCAAGGCCAGGTTGGAACAACCTGGGCTAGTGGAAGGTGTCCCTGCCCGTGGCAGGGGGTGGCACTGGATGGGCTTTGTCCTTCCACTCCAAAGCATTCCATGATTCATTTTGCCTGCTTGGCAGAGGGAGGATGCCCCTCTGCAGCTCCTCGTTCCTTCCCCTCCTGCTTTTTGTCTTGCAGCTCAAGGATGGAATCACTCCACTCCCCCACCCTCTGCTCCTGTTCCCCCCATTCCCCCCTTTCCACCCCCCCTGGCTGTGGGGGCTGGAGCCTCCCAGCTGGGATATAAATAGGGGTGTGATCACACCAGTCTGCTCTGCCGAGCCTGGGAGGCGGCTGGGAGGGGGGGTTGGAGGCAAATTTTAGCAGGATTTGGACCATCCCATCCCTCTTCTCCCAGCCCTGGGCGAGCTGGACACTCCCTGCATCAGCCAGGAGCTGAATTATTTCCAGTATCAATGAAAACTGCCTAAATGTGATTTTTTTTTTTTTAATTTAGTTTTCAAGCTGTGCCTTAAGGCTCTGCTCTCGTGCCTCCTGGTGTCCCACCCCTGCAGGGACACAATCCCTCCTTCCACAGCAGCAGGAGCCAGCTGGGAAATAATTAAAAAAAAACCCCAAAACCAAATAACCCAGATCATTTTGGCTCCTCTCTGACAACTCAGGGAC